GACCGCGTGAGCGTGACATGGAGTTCCTGTCCTGCCTTTTCTTTTTATTATTTTTATTTTTATTTTTATCTATTATAACTAATAATAGAAGAGATATTACTTTTTGGTATCCACAATTAATTTTTCATTTTATCCTTTAATTAACTACCATAAAAATTATACATGATTAAAGCAAATGTGAATCTAGAAAAGTGTCATTTTCCTGCGAATTTTCCTACAAAAAATATTTACAGAAATTTTTTGCGAGTTTTCTTGCAATAATAATTTCACAAATTTTTTTTACGAATTTATTTGCGAAAATTAATTTACAGATATTTCTTAAAAAAAATTTATGAAAAATAATCTACAAGAAATTTTTGCAAATTTTTCTACAATTTTAATGATCATAGACTTTTTTTTCCATGGTAAAAATTTGTAGAAAATATTGTAAGAATTTTATTTTCTTTCTTACTGATTTTCTTGCAAAAATAAATTCGCAACTAATGTTTACTAAATGGTAGAAAAATTTCGCAGGTAACTTTTTATGCGGATTTTCCTGCCAATTTTAATCCGCAGGAAAAATCAAAAAAGATATTTAAATTTATAAGTTTAATATTTTAAAAAAATTTCAATTCACACATCGATTTAAAATAAAACAATTAAAGAGTATATAAGTTGGGGCAACACTTACCTTACAAGTTGATTTATATGGCTGAGTGTTAGCCTTATAATCTACAATCTTAGAGTTTAAAAGATTATGTATCACATGTTGGAGGCGTGGAAACAAATGTTTCGGATGAATTTATTGTGAGCATTTGAAAGTTGAAGAATTATTGATAGAATTTGTAATAATTTCTTTGATTTTTTTCGTAAAAAATATTCCTGCAGAATTTCTTTTGAAAAAATTCGCAAGAAACTTTCCTGCGAATTTCTTTTTGCAGGAAACTTTACTGCGAATTTTTTCCCAAGAAATTTCGCAAGAAAATTTCTTGCAAATTTTAAAATTCGCAAAAATATATTATCTACGAAGGTATTACCTACAGATAAAATTTCGTTAAAAAATTCGTAGGAATAATGTTTGCTGTGATTTTTAATACAAAATATGCATAAAAAATCGTATGTAATAAGAGAATTTCTGTAGTGAAATTGTTATTCTTTCGAAAGTACAAAGTGTCTATCATCTAATATATAGACCACAAATTTATTTAATGAATAAAAATAGCTTAAAAAACATAGACTAATCATGAATGAAAGAATTTAATGGACATGTGCATTTTCTGTTAATTGATCATAAACTAATTTTGATATGATTTTAAAAGCCGTTATTATCAAAGTTATAGCAATATATAAAAGATGTAAGAATTTTACAAAATTAGTCTTATTATCATTATTGTTAATTTTTATAAAATCATTTGTCTTACTATATTGATCATTTTTAAGGAATTTTGTTGTTGCTAAAAATGATGTAATAAAACAATAATATTTATTATATGAAAAAAATAATATTTCATTGAAAAATTTAAATAACACTATTTTTTTTTCTTCTTACACAATATTATGAGATAAAAGGAGTAAAATTTATCATGTATATGTTACAAACTAAAATATAAATTTATTATAAATTATAAAATCACCAAATGGTTAGTAAATTTTAGCCAATAATTAACAAATGGTTAGTTTGTTCCAAAATATTGTGTTTTACTGACATTTCTCTCTACATAATATTTTGCATCAACGGGAGTATTGAACGGATAATGACATGCATTTACCATTTTAACTTATTCGACTGCTAGCAAACTATTTATTCTTAAAGTATTCTAACTAAATTTTGTTGTCAAAAGTTTCCAAGAACATCACTACTGAATGTTGATCGGATAGTATGATGTCAGGGTTGTGCTTCTGTCGAATGGCTTCACCAGTTGGGTAAATATTATTTCATGGAGGTGGATATAAATAACCCAAAGTTGAATAATTATGGTGGAATCACTTTGCTTTTGGAGCAAATATATGTTGTATAATATTTGTTCTTGAGATTATATAGTGTTGCTTAATATTTTAATATATGATGTTTTATATATCGCTTAATTTCTAATAAATAATAAAAAATTATTAAAAAAAGGGACCTGTGGAAAGAATATTATATAAAATATAAAATATAATATTAATTAGACAAGAGTTTAAATCAGGATGACCAATATATATTTACAATCTCAGAATTGTAGTATTTTCTTGTAGTTTCATCACCCTCATCAAACCCTAGGATTTGAATAGTACATAAAAAAGGTCTTTAAATAAACATCATAATAAGCTGATCTTTCCTTCTGTCAAGCTGAACCTCTTGTCTTGTGACTTTGTACATTATTAAAATTCAGCCCATTCATATATATACAGTTAATTATAGGATATAACTACTTTATAAGCAAAATTTTATAAATAAACGTAAGGGTATGCTAACCCGAATGCAAAATTTTCAAAATGGCATTTCACACTACTAGATTTTAATGTATTAGCAACATTTTCTTGTTTATATTTGTTAAAATATTACTAATTTTCAAAATTAAAGTCTCATATCGAGTAAAAAAAAGTTACATAAGTTATTTTGCAACATTTTTTGAAAAATGTTATTATAATTGCTTCTAAAATCAAAGTCTCACATCGAGTCAAAAAAAGTATATTTTTCTTATATCTAATCGTAACCCATAATTAAAGTTCAACACTGAATAGATTAATGACTCATAAAGAGTATATATACTCATATATATAGTTATATTTAAGATAAATGAAATTTGATATTCTATATAATTAGTGGTGATTAACTAAAAATGTCTTTCCCTAAAAACTTAAAGAACTCCTAGAAGTTTAGTTTAGGAGACATAAAAATATAATAATTGATAGTAATATTTAAATTAAAATTAATCATTATTTTATAAAGTTATCAAAATCTTGGCAACATCATTAAAATATTACAAAAAATTATTAAAATGTTACAAAAATACTACTTTGGTAACATTTAAAAAATATTACCTAATTATGTAAAAATGTTATTAAAAGTCTGTAACAACATAGACTATATACAACATTTGATAATATGTTACTAAAACAAATTAGTAACATTTATACATAATTAAGTAACATTTTTCAAATGTTACTAAATACCATTTGTGTTGTAGTGTCAATTGCAAAATTATAGATGAGTTATATCAATCAGATCAAAGAACCGTGAGCAATGCCATTTTAGTAGTCTTAAACCATATTCTAACGAATCTAGATTATTTTGACATTTATTAATTATGTCTTAAACACCATATAAAAGTTAAAGAAATATCCTGAAATTAAGCTCAAACTTAATGTTTCTCAAGTGTTTTCGGTTTCATTTGATCACTACCTATGAAGTTGCAGCTGCCAAGTGCTAGAGCCTACACTGCTGCATCTGGCTATTCAGAAAAAGTGAGAGCGATTAGTCATGAGCTGTGACCAAGGGCTTCTGTTATGAATCTGTGGACCATTTATTGGACCATAATTGTACTCTTTTCAGTGTCTCAGTTATTGATTTATTGGTCATAACCCAGTTTTTCCAGAACCCTCTATGCCCCACTCTACTACTTGTTACTTAATTTAGAGCCTCTTAACTTAACATCCAAAAGCCCTATATTCATTTTAATTTCCTTTAGATTTTTCTGTGTCCCTGATCTCTTTATATTCCACTCTCTCTGGTCTGGTACATGTAGGTGGGTGCTTCTGGATGAATAACAACACTGGAAGTGTGGATTCCCCCAGGAACATCTCCAACAGTGAAAAGAATAATCTTTTACTTTCTCTCCTTTCAGAAAGGAGAGTTGGCGAACTTGGTTTTTGTCTTGCTTCGTCTTCATCCTCCTCCTTTTATTCTTATCCCTTTTCATCCTCTTAAACTTCTTTAATTTCTTGAGTTTTATTTGGTGTTAATAAAGTAAATTTAGCGTGTATGTAGAACTAGATGGCCTTTTTTACTCACTTCATACTAAATCATTGTACATATAATATATTTATTTACCTTCCTATTTACACATATATAGTTTTACTTTTAGAAAGGAAAAAAAAAATTAACTAGCATTCAGCGATGAAATGTTAAGCTTCTCTTAATTAGTGTCTAGCTACTTAGATGGATTATGTATACTGAAATTCTATGGCTGATACTGTTGGAGTCCCGGTGTTAAAAAAACCACCAACAGATACATCTTGTTAATTATTTCAAGATTTTGGTTTGTTGCTGAACTGGACATATAAGAGACACATATATGTCTTAGGGTTTTTCATGTCATGTGTATTTGTGAAGTGGAATTGAAGCAATAGAATTAATCTACAAGTTATATTATTTATACTATTTTTTTATAATATTATTTTTGCTCTTTATCTTTCTATATCTATTCTATCCTACATTTGTTTCTTCTCTTATTTATTAAATTGTTATAAAAAAAATTGTAAAATTTTTATGTACAAATACAATTTTTCTAAATCTATATGGAATATGAAAGAATGTTAATGGAGTCTAACTCAATTTATTAAATAATATGCCTGAGTTATTGAAAATTTATTGGAAACTAAATTTGATTCTTAGGAAAGAAAACGAAGAAAAGGTCATCATTTGTTTTAATTTGAATAAATAAACCAAGAAAATTGAAGCTTGTGGCAATATTAATCCCCCACTCCAGTCACTAAGAACTAACTAAATTACTTAAATTAAATAATTCTAGTTTCTTTTTTATTTTTCTATTGTTTACCACTACAAAATCGTGCAAATTAAGAACTATCCAGACCTGTTTTGGTCTTTGAGGTATTCTATATCTCCTTAAATTCTCTCTTTCTTTCTCATTTTCCGCATGTTTCATTTGTCCATGCTTTAGAATCAATGAAAGAAATTTCAGTAAAAAAATTACTTCATTTACACTATAAAAAAAAAAAAAAGGAGGCGGGGGGTGTCATTGAAGAAATTAAGATTTACAAACTAAGCTTTATTAATTTTTTTTACCTACATATCATATGAATATTGGCCGGGACCATAGACACATGATAATGACAAACTATATGATATATAACTTGTCATTTTTGGGGGTGATTTTAGGGTTTCGAAGTTGGCACATATCTAGATCTATCCGCCGGTTCCTCTTGCACTGGTGAAGAATAAATCATTTCCAAATCGTCTTTGACAAATGAAGAAGAGAAGAAAATTTGCGTACGTTTCTGTATCCTCTAATTAACTGACTTTCTTTTGAAGAAAGATAGCATGCGATTAATCCACTTGTGGGGTTCAGAAGTTAGGTTCTAACTGAAAATTATCACAAGTTGCCCTCATGCATATCTCTCTGAAATAGTATATGTGGTCCTTAGCGAGTGTCGTAAAAGATAACATATGTTGGTCCCTCACCTATAGGTAGCTTTACGTTGTCCGAATTGAAGTAGTTATCATACACAAAGACATGACAATTCTCTCAGACTAGACACCACAACTTTTGAATCTTACTAAATGACTTATTTAAAGTGGGTTTCTCTGCTTCCTCTCCATGTGATGCCTTCCCCTATTTTTGTTTTCTCTCCATTTTTATCTCTTATTCCTTTTTTCATCTTTTCATTGTCTTGTTCCAAAGCGTAGGTATTTGAGGGATTTCTAAAATGTGGAAATATATTATTAAGAAAAAAAAATCAAATGTCGTGTACTAACATGTTAGGTTTGTTTTTGTTGTTATAATTTTGTCTAATAAAAATTAATCTCATAATATAAACATTATAAATCTACATAAATAGAATGATCAATCATATTAACATCTTTCTATGCAAATCACATTGTTAGTATATAAATCAACAATATGTACACTAACAATTTAATTTTCATTGGCAAAATTTAAAGAATTAAAGTAGAGACAAGTATAATTCGTAACATTTTATTATTAATTAGTAGTAGTATATAAGACATTTTACAGCCGTATATCTTACCAGAAAATGAAGGGGGAAAAAACTATAAATGTGCAAGGAAGCTTGCTAATATAATGTTGAGTTGCTTTCCAAATTTATTTATTTATCATGTTCCTTTTTCTTAAGAGTATGTCCAGTGAGAAACTTTTAGAAACAATATCAGTGTAATAAACAGAACGCATGCTGCAATTTAGTTATTATAAGGCTTTGTTCTTAACAATATACAACAACATTTTTTGCTTGATACTATTTTGTCTACACTACAAAAAAGAATTGTTATATAGTGACACACACTTAATAATTATACAATATTTATCACTAAAAATTATTTTTACTTACATTATAGATATAATATATATTAATATATGAGTTAATCACCTATACACTACCAGTGTAAAGTTTTTTTTTATACTGATAATAAATTATATCTTTTAATAGTGCTATGTCAGTTGCTTATTTAATAAAATAAAAATAAAATAAAATAATTTAAAAGATATGATTGATTATCAATGTAAAAAACTTTACACTGACAATGTATGGATGATTAAATGTGTGTTTGTTTTAGAGTTACGTTCAACATAACCCAAAAGCAACACACTAGTTACTTTGATTTTTTTGCATTGGAAAGATGAAAAAGTTCGTTCAACCAATGTTAAACAATTTTCCAAACACGCACTAACTCTTAGTATATATTGTTATAAAGTGTAAGTATAACTTATATATTACAATAACGCACAATATATAATATTTAAATCTCATTCAAAATTAACATTAAAATTATATATAATTATATATCATATAAATTTATACTTATTATATATTTTCTACCTATAGTATCATATTTTATATATCGCTATATTATAACGCTAGCTTCTATGGCCCCCCATGTGATGGTTTCAGTAACCAAATCTTTTGTAGTTGTCGATAAAGTGTGACTAGCCGCTTTTTGAAGCGTGTAGTGAATGGTCCACTGAGGTTATTAATTGTGTTCCTTTGTCACGAGAAACAAAATTTTGCATTCTTTTGCTTCAAAAGATCCTTTGTTTTTTTTTTTTTTTTTCTTTCGCATTTACTATCTTGTACATTATGCTTTTGCATCATATTTCTAAATTGCATTTACAGTCATAGTTACCGTTGCTTTACGATTCTTGACATTGCAGATAAATGCAGCTAACGTGATAGTAACAGCAAGTTGAAAATCTTAAATGTTGCAGTCACAATTGGGAAAGTTCACTGCAGTGCTTTTTTTTTTAATTTTTTTTTTTTATTATTATCTTATGAATATCATTCATGCAGTATAATTTTTATTGGTCATATATTATTTTAATACAGATAAATTTGAGAACACCATATAATTCTTATGTGTCTTAAACAGATCATACAGCCAACCATTAAGTCAAAAGGTTTGATTTAATTTACCTTGATTTGAAACCATGTTTAGCTTAGATAAAATTTAAAAACATCAAAATCAACTTTGATAAAGATGTTTACTTGTCTTGATTATCGCAAGTGGATCAATGTGAGAATAAAATGGCAAGAAAAATGAGCCCTAATTAAGCTCCTCCTAACTACCATGATGAAAGAAATCATTGTCCATCATGCCTGCCTGACCATAAAATGATAAGATGTAGACTAGCAAATTTATTTGACCAATAAGGTAATATCTCACGTGGCCACCTATGTGCCATTGCTTTATCTTTCAGTGCGCCGTGGTCGGTTTCATTCCGGCATCTTCCTTTTCCAAGCTGCGGACTCAACTTCACCAATTTATTCTATGCAATCAAAGCAAACACCAAGTTTGAAACCTCTTCATAAATAGTTCGAGAATTGGCTTCAAAAGTAATTAAGGTGCACACTTGGTCTTTCTCTCCTATAATTTGCACGACACCAAACAGTGGTAGGTAATGTTTTTGCTAGGTACTGTATGTCTTATATCACCTACATCTAGGGTTTGTATATAAGCCTCTTCACGTTTTCAAATGAAACTCGTTCTAATACTGTGTGTTTACGTTGAATTAATCGCATATATAGTAGTCCTTGCACCCCACTTGCTTTGACTTAGTTTTTTCCTTGCCTTTCTTTTGCATAAACTATATTTTGCAACGAACATTTCATAAAATCTGATACGAGATGGACTTATACTACTTATTTGCATTTGTTATTCTTAGGTTTTTTTTCTTCGTTATTATTTTATCCTCTCTAATCCCCTCAAAATTATATTAATATGACACAATTCATTATGTAATATTGACGCCTAATAGTTGCTTCCAGTAAGAAATCTTGTCATGTGTTCTTCTCATATCCGTATTATCAGAAACTGTTACTTAATTAGTTTGTTATATTTAAGAAGGATTAGCTAGACTCTTATGAATTGAAAATTTTAATTTATTTTGAAGAAAAACGCCAGCAATTTCAACTCTTACAATAAGAAAATTTCAATTATGAATTAGAATAAACTTTGGTATTTTTTTTTTTATCATAGGTTAAGATTATTCACTTTTTTTCTTCTGAAGTGAACATATCACTTGAGAAAGGATAGTTTGATCTGAATTGACTAAGTACCTCAACCGCCATTTGAACCCAGTTTTCAATTTCAATTATTGTCATGAGATGAAGCAGATTAATATTCATCTGTCTGCTTATTTTTTTCAAACTTAATTTCATAGTTTTCTGAAGCAGATACAAGCTAGAAGTGCATATTCATACTGAAGAATTCAAAATTAGGGGTTTCATTGTTGAAGGTGGAAGAGAAGTTCCAGGAAGAAAAACCAACAACAATGAAAGAAATACAATGATCAACAGTACAAAGGAGGCAGAATTTCCACTAAAACAGGAAGGTCTTTCTTCAAGCGATCATCATGAAAAGGAAAAGGCTACATCAAGCTCATCATCACAATGGCTAAAACTGAAGGATCCAAGGATTGTTCGAGTATCTCGAGCTTTTGGAGGAAATAAAGACAGGCACAGCAAGGTGTGCACTATAAGAGGACTAAGAGATAGAAGGGTGAGGCTTTCAGTTCCCACAGCAATTCACCTCTATGATCTTCAAGATAGGCTTGGACTCAATCAACCAAGCAAGGTTGTAGATTGGTTGCTCAATGCAGCTAAGCATGAAATTGATGAACTTCCACCACTTCCAATTCCTCCAGGTAACTTCACCCTTGGTTATCCATCTCTTGTTGCTTGTAATAATGATCAATTTAGCACCTCTCGTGAAGGTTCAGGCCAAAACACCTTATGGAAACCAAAGTCCAAAGAGGTTTCCGGAGAAATGGTTAGTGGTAAAGCAAATTGGATGAATAGAAGTGAAGATGATGATAATGATAAAAGTAGTAATAATAATGATGATAAACAAAGCAATAGTTGTCATGGTGCACATGTTTTGCCAAATAGTCTCTTACCAAGGGCAAATCATCCTTCTTTTTTGGGCTTGATGAACACTATGCCCTCACTTGGTTACCAATGGGACCCTAATTCAGGTGATGTTGCTCAATGGGCAAATCATGGATTTGTTAATCAAGCAGATATACACAGCATTAATGTGGTTCCATTCCCATCAAATTTGGCTCTATCAACTGGGAATACTACTACTCCTCAAATTTTGGTGTGTCCTCCTGGGGCAACACAACCATATTTCCCTTCCCATCATGTTGCATCAATGGAGATGAATCAAAGACAACTCAACCACTATCAGATGCTGAGTTCAAGTTCTCAAAATTTCTTGGCAAATTCTCTCAATCCATCACAAGTTATAAGCCAACAAGGGAAAGTACCATTCAGCTTGGGTAAGCCTAAACTTCTCCATTCTCCTAACAGCAGTGAAAGCCATTCTCGTAAACACTAGGATTTTCCTTCCAAATGATACACAAAATAGAGTTATCTAAATTCTTCTCCTCACAAAATATGCATGGATCATAAGGCCTGTGGGAATTGAAGTTCATTAGCTGCAAGACATTATTCAACGTTTCGCGGGGTTTGAATAATCATTCCGTTTTTGTGTTATGTTTGATTTTCTGATGTTTCCTGGGTTTATGTAGGTACAATTAACTTAATTTTCCATTCAGTTTAATCTATATGGATGCCATGCAAAGGTCTACAAAAAAAATGGGTTTTTTCAAGGGTAATTAAGAGCTTTTCCTGAAGTGAAAATGTGATTGCTACGCTAAAGAGAACACATGCTCAGATAAGTTAATTAACTCTCTATTCTACATTGAGAAAGGTTGGAAAAGGTAGAATAATAATATTATCATTGATAGTGAGTTTGGGATTTTATTTTATTTTATTCTGTTAAACATTATGTGTTTGAATGAGACAGGAATTCTCAGTGTGCTATGTTATATACCAAGTGTTAAGTAGTTTTTTTTTCAATCATGTTTTAGTTTTTTAATTGTGATTGTATACATTCCATGAGATGAAACATAACCAAAGAAATTATACTTAATTTTTCCTTCATGTACACAGTACACGCATTTCAGCGCACGGAAAATGATGCATAGACGTTCATTTGTTAATAAGAAATGATATTTGCACACCAACATTTTATACACTCCATTAAAAAAAATATATCTTTTCTTTCGTATCACATCATTAAATTAATTTATTATACCGATATTTTAATTTTTTATTTTTCTCCTTATAGGTAATTATAATAAGGTGTTGAATTGGAGTGTCCAATAATCATTTTTGTATGCTGGTGATTGATATCATATGACAAGAAAAACAAAATAATAGAGAAGAAATAAGAAATGTCAAAAAATGTTTAGACTATTGCTCATGAACTCGTCTCTTAAGACAGGGAAAATCCCTAACAGTATCTAAATCTGGAGCAAATTTTGTGCGAGATCAGTATAATATCAAAATAATTTCAGCACAAATTTCAATACAGCTTTTATTAGTCTTTTTTAACTTTGACAACTAATAAGAAAACATCTTAACTGTATAAGACTTTTAAATTAATTGTTATATAAATCAATAACCTTATCATTCATGAAATTTTGTTTATGATAGAATAAATATAAAAATATATCTAAAAAACTTCTCTTTTTAAATAAATTTATTTTTATTATTTATCGTTAATTTTTTGTTGGCTACGTCTTTAAATACAGTTAATGTGCTCATGCTAGAATTATTCCTAATGCTTTGGGGGAGGAAAAAGAATTGATGGGAATGAGAGATAATATGTGAGAAATGATTTAATCAGTGACGGATCCAGAAATTTTAAGTAGTGGGGGCAATATTTAAATACATAAACTTTTAAAATATAAAATAAAATTTTTATAAAGATAAATATATATCATAGTTGTTCTCTACGAGTTTTCATAATTTGAAAACATTGAATGATTTGCTCATTTTTAATACTATCAAAAACCTCTCTCTCTATGGTTCTCTCATTTTTAAACAAGGATCATCAGGAAGCCTTTCCAAATCACATTCTAAAAATCTTTTTTTGGTTGGTGGGCCCAATTTGACTTCTTTTTCAACATGTGTTTGAGGAGAAGATGGTTGTTCTGAAGATGATTTTCTTTTAAAATACTTTTCCATTGCTACAACTAAAAGCAATATAATTTTAATTAATGTAATGTTCATAACATACAATGTTTCTTCTAAACATAAAAATAGAATGAGTAAATAAAAATCAAAATACTGAATTTCTCATTGAAAATAAAAAAATTAATTCAAATAAAGCAATATAAAAATAATAACTTTAAATACACTAACCTCAAAGACTACTTTAAATGTATAGTTTAGCTATTCAAACAAGAAGGAGTATAGATGGAAGAAGAAGTTTATTTTTTTTTCTTCCAATTTCACTCTTCTACACTTTAAAATATGTTAGAGGTAGAGGAGAACCTCAAAATATAATAAAAAGAATTAGAAAAAATAAAAATAAAACAAAAAAAATATAAAATATTTAAAAAGAGGTTAATAACAATTTATGGTTTTTTTTTAAAACTTAAAACACATACATTATTTAATTTATAATATTTTTTTATCTTGATTTACAATTTAAATGCATAACAATTTTTTTTAAAACATGTAATTTGTTGTTAATTATTATAACATATTAAAATATTTTTAAAAAAATTTCCTTTCTCACATAAAGATAACTGCAACAAAACTTAAATTTAGTTTTAATTTTATAATTTTTAGTTTTTTATTTTTATTTTTTAGTTTTTAAATTTTAAATGAAGATAATATAATATTATATATATTATTAAAAAAACTGAAAAGTTAATAGGGACCCACAAGTTAGTGCATCCGTCCCTGCAACAAAACTTAAATTTAGTTTTAATTTTATAATTTTTTTAGTTTTTATTTATTTTTTTAGTTTTTAAATTTTAAATAAAAATAATATAATATTATATATATATATTATTAAAAATCAAAACTGAAAAGTTAGTGGGGACAACTACCCCCACAAGCTTCAACGTGCGTCCGTCAATGGATTTAATATATGAGAAGTGAAATTTGTAGTAATTTTAAAGAGTGAATTTATGTAGAGAAAAATTATATTTTGTACCGATAAAATTTTATGTAAAAAAATAATTTAAATAATTACCATTTTATTTCCTTCTCTTTGTTGATTTGTAGTGTTTAAATTTTATTTTTTATAATTTAATAACATAATCGGTTATATCAAGTTTATGCTAATTAGCATAACTCATTATGTTACGTTATATTAGTCTTTATGTATTAATAGTATAATTGATTATTCACCAATCATAATCAATTATAGTGATCCCCTCTTGCACAAATAACATCACATAATGCATAAGGATCCTACGTACCATAGTTGACTATGGTGACTTCTGGTACACAAATAACATACATGCGACAATAGATTATAATTGATATTATGAGACCTCTGATACAAATAACATGACACGTAGGGTATGTTTGGGTAACTTCTCTAGAAGCATCACTTCTAGGAGAAAAAAATAGGAAGAAAAAATGAAATAAATTTCTTAATAAGTTCAAGTTAGTTTATGCATAAATTAATATGTAGAAATTCTCTCTAATTAACTTCTCCAAAATATTATTTTCAACTCATACCCAAGTTAATTTTAGTTTAGAAAGAAGTTTAATTTATTTCAATTTTTCTTCTTATTTCTCTCTCTTAAAATCCCTTATGAAGAAACTTAACTCAAAAAAACCCATAATGCATTAGGGAGTCATAGGAAATAAAGAGTCCTGTGAGAGTGAGATGAAATTTGAAGACTTGATTAGTGGATTTTTTTAATAATAAATAGCATGATCTGATTTAAAGAAAACTAACTAAGAGTAGAAGTTCAAAGTACTATATATAGGGTTTAGACTCTGAATAAGGCAAATGGCAAGATACAAGATTAATGGGACAACCTACGAGTGAAGTGTATATTTCATTTCTTTCATAGACGACTTCTCCAGAAAGCTATGGGTATATTTGATCAAAAGAAAGAGTGAAGTGTTAGAAGTGTTTCAAAAATTCAAAGCCATGGTGGAACGAAGTAGTGGCCAGTTGATCAAAGTATTGAGGACCGACGGTGGAGGTGAATATACGTCTAGAGAATTTGAGAGGTTTTGTGAAAAGGAAGGAATCGAGCATCAAGTCACGCCTCCATACACACCGCAACACAATGGAACTGCTGAAAGAAAGAACCGAACCATCATGAACATGGTACGTAGCATGTTAAAAGCAAAACAATTGCCTAAGTATTTGTGGGAGGATAGATTACGTCAACCGCTGCTTACATCTTAAACAGATGTCGTTCGAAGAGGCTGGAGGGAGTTACTCCAGAAGAGGTTTGGTCGAACAACAAGCCAGACGTGAGCCACCTAAGAGTGTTTGGATCAATAGGTTACAAACACGTACCTGAACAATTGAGAAGAAAGTTAGACGACAAAGGTGAGAAGATGATACTGCTGGGATATCATCCAACAGGTGGATACAAGCTGTTCAATCCCATTAGCAAGCAAATTGTGGTGAGTAGGGACGTGATGTTTGATGAGTCAAAGGGATGGAACTCAGAGTCAAACAAGGATGAACAATATAGTCACGTAATCATTGAGTCCGTGGACAACGAAACTAATGAAGATCAAAATGAAGAATCGGGAGGAGCATGTACGTCCAATGCTCTTAGAAGATCTCAAAGAGATACTCGTATTCCAGGGAGACTCAAAGGTTTTGAAATGATTTCTGATGCTGATGTAAATGAAGATGGAGATATTGTTCACTTTGCTCTATTCTCTGAAACTGAACCAGTCACCTTTGAAGAAGCCATTTTGAACAGCAAATGGGTTGATGCGATGAAGGATGAGCTTCGATCCATTAAGAAGAACCAAGTGTGGGAACTAGTGACTCTTCTAAAGGCCAAGAGACCAATCAGTCTAAGGTGGGTCTTTAAGACCAAAACCGATCCCACAAGAAAGGTAGTGAAGCATAAAGTGAGGTTAGTGGTACGTGGCTTTCTTCAAAAACCTGCCATCGACTATAAGGAAGTGTTTGCACCAGTGGCTCGGATTGAAACGATAAGAACCGTGGTCACCATTGCCAATGGAAAAGGATGGATCATGTATCAGTTGGACGTAAAACCCGCCTTTTTGAATGGACCTCTAGACGAAGAAGTTTATGTATCACAGCCTCCTGGGTTCGAAATTAAAGAACAAGAAGCTAAGGTGTACAAATTGAAGAGAGCTCTCTATGGACTCAAGCAAGCGCCGAGAGCATGGAATGGAAGGATTGACGCATACATGTTACAACTTGGATTCATCAAATGCACCTGTGAATTTGGAGTATATGTTCGCCAAAAACAACACTTGGTCATAGTGTGTTTGTACGTGGATGATCTTCTAATTACAGGAAATCATATTGGAGATGTTGAGGTCATTAAGAGAGAATTGATGCATGAGTTTGAAATGACAGACCTAGGAAAGTTGTCGTACTTCCTAGGATTTGAATTTGTAAAGGTAAAAGAAGGTTTGATGATGCATCAGAAGCGGTATGCAATGGAAGTGTTGAAAAGATTCAACATGCTGAACTGCAATCCTTGAACTACAATCCAGCGTCTACTCCATCTGAGACCGGTTTGATTTTGGAGAAGGAAAGGACCGAAGAACCTATTGATGAAACTGTGTATAAGAAAATTGTGGGATCTTTACGGTACCTTTGTCACACATGTCCGGACATAGAATTCTCTATCGGAGTTGTGTCACGATTTATGCAGAATCCCAGGGCACCGCATCTTCTTGCTGCTAAACGGATCCTCAGGTATGTCAAAGGAACCATGTCAAGTGGTTCTTGTTCCCACAGAACAACACCACGATTGACGAAATTGAGGTTGTTGGGTTCACGGATGCGGACTGGGGGGCAGACAAGGATGATCGTAGGAGTA